AACAGCCTGATCCCAAAAGAACATAAACACTGCCAACCCCCTTCGCTTTGTTTTTAAAACTAGCACTGGCTCTAATGTGCCTGGGAGTAAAGTGGAACATAAATATTCATTTAGTAACATTTTAAAGATATGTCCATACTATATAAAACTCAGTATAGCAACCACTCAATTTATTGGACAAATCTTCAGAGATATAAAGATTCAACAACATTTCTTCAAATACTTTCTTCACAAGAGTCTGAATTGAATGTTGCACTTACTTCTGAAGCCTTTAAAGTTTAAACTAAATACAGTACATAAGTGCTTATATTCTTAGAATGTTTTAATAGTGATTGAAACTTCCTTTATAAATGAATCCAAAACATCTTTAACAAATGATTCTGTGTTGTTACTAGTGAATGAAGACTGTTAAAATACAGTATTTTTAATTTTGGCCAGGTTTGGTGGTGCACATTTATACTCCTACTACTATGAGAGGCTGAGGCAGAAGGAATGCAAGTTTGAGCCTAGCCTGATTAGCTAGACTCTGTCTCAAGGCAAAAAAAGTTTAAAATGACTAGGGATGTAGACTCTGAGTTCAATCCCTAGTACCACAGTAGGAGGAGGAAAAGGATATGGGGGAAGAAAAAATTGTTTAATCTTGGCATTGAGGATGTAGCTTAGCGGTACAGATCACGGTTCATACATGTGAAGCTAAGGATTATCCACCGCACAGGCGAAAAAGTTAAACTGAGGCCATTAAAGTGGGCCCTCGTCCATTCTGACTGGCAACCTCAAGATATATAGACAGAAATCCCCAGTTTGCACTAAGCAGAGGAAGACAGGATATAGCAGGAGGACTGCCCAGGAGAGAGGCCTCAGGATAAACTAATCCTGCAGACACCTTGATCTTGGACTTCTAATCTCCAGAACCATGAGAAAATGCATTTTTGTCAATTAAACCCTCCATTTCGTGGCTAGTAGACTAACACAGTTTTTTTTTAAAAGAGACATAATGAAAAACATTTAAAGATCAACACTAACCGATGGTGCCTAAAGATGCATACCTGAACTAGTAAGTGGCTACTGTACAGGTTAGAATTATGTAGACAGGGTTGGGATTTGGCTCAGTGATAAGAGTACATGTCAAGCTTAGGTGAGGCTCTGGCTTCCAACCCTGCACACACAAAAAGGAACCATACAGGTAGTCTTCACTTTACTTCATTCCAATATATACAATTTCAGTTCCACAGTTTAAATTATACCAGTTCCCTAACAACATGGCTCAAATTTCAATCACCACAGTATATTCTTTTGAAAAACAGCAGAGTGTAAGCTTCATCAATGTTATCATGACCGCTGACCAATCACAACACGTCTCTCAAAGTTATCTGTGACTGATCACTCCTCACCTGTTACACAGTTCAACAGACAACCAAGCAAATACGTGTACTATCTGTGTTGCCTCTTACTCTTCTGGGGATAGACACACTTATTATACATTTAAAAAAAAGGAATAATCAAAAGAGGAAACTGACCAACAAAGATGGAAGTGCCCCACTGAAGTGCAAAGTGTAACACTAGAAGTAAAACCTGAATGAGAAGTAAAGAGTTACAGGAGAATAGCTGGCCGTGTTGGCAGTGCCACCACTCACATACTCTAGATGTGCACTCCGAGGAACTCCATGAAAAGAATTTATTGACATAAGTGAGAACAGTTGTTGAGATAAATGACATACGCAAAAACTTATTGAAGGAACTCTTGGAAACACTTCACAAACCTGAAAGCACAAAGGACAAAATGTTGGAAGCGGATTCAAACTTCAAGAAAAGTAAACATTCATCAACGCATACCAAAGATGCTTGCTGTGTGTCATACGTTATATGGTGAGGAAAAGAAGACAAGCACTGTTCCAAACACCCTTGCACAAAGAAAGCCGTTTAATTATTTGTGTGTGTTCGGGTTTTTTGTTTGTTGGGTTGAGGACTCAATCTGGAGCTTTTACAGGAGTGATATCCCCACTCATTTTTTATTTTGTATTTACTGACAGGGTCTTACTAAGTTGCTAACTTGCTCAGGCTGGATTTGAACTTGTAATCCCCTGCTCAGCCTCCCAATGTGCTGCAATTACAGGCATGTACCACCATGCTTGGCTCTCAAACAGTTTAATTCTTAATGTTGCTAATGTTTTAAAGGACAGTGTACTAAATTTTAGTATTTCTTTACTTTCCTAAGTACTTAGACAATAAGAGGCGTTTTCATGTTTTGATAATAAATTTTAAACGTTCTTAGCCAGTCATGATGGTGCCTCTCTAAAAGCCCAGCTACTTGGGAAGCTAAGACACAAAGATTGCTTAGGCAGTCAACATCTGTCTGAGCAACACAGCAAGACCCCATCACAAAAAATGTGAAACAAAATAAAATAAATTTAAAGGTCCCAGAACGAGAGCAATTTTCCACTGGTATTAAGGTAGCTTATGAGAATTTCAGTATGCAGCACCATTTTTATATAGCCACAAGACCATGAAAAGCAAAGACTGCCTATGGTTAGTTTTAGAGCCAGAGAGGGAGTTATGATTGAGATGGGACACAAGCAGGCACTTTTGGGGCAGCTGGCAAATTCTACTTCCTCACCAGAATGGTGGTCGGGGGGTATTTGCATGTTGGTTATTTGTTAAGGGAAAACAATGTCACTATGACTTAAATCCATGGGAGTAAAGGATCAATGAAAACTAGTCTCAAACACTGGCCAGTGGTCACCTGTATAAGAAAATAAGAAAAACTTAGCCACCGAAGTAGAAAGGTACTTGGCAGAGGGCACAAAGGCTGCTGTCAGACATGAAATCAGAATCCAGGCCTTGCTGGCGGCCAGGCTTGCTCTCCTCTCTTTACAGTTTGCCAGCCTTTCATCAAACAGACATGCCACAAAGGGCATCTTTACTGTCCTTTTGCAAATGAGGTAATTCAATCAGGTTTGAATATGGAGGTCTGGATTTTTCAGATGGATTCCTTAATGCTAACCTCAAAGAAAAAAATAAAAATAAATAAGGGGGTTAAAAGTGGGTCACCAGTCTCAAAGACAATTTATTAAAATTATTTTCCAGGTAAAGAAATTTGGTTTTGTGGAAAACAGTCAAGCAGTTTGTCTCCCCAGTTCTTGCTCAACAATATACTCAACCTTAATAAATGTCATTTATTTGGTGGGGCTCAGGCAGCTCTGCTGTATATTTATATTTGAGTAGTTTACGATCAATACTTGGTCTTTCCTTTCAAATTTAGTACTGTAACATAACATTTTCTTCCTCATTTAAATACCCAAATAGCCTCTGATATTATTTTAAGTACAAAATTCATTAGGTATCACATGGCTTTTCTTGGCTTTAGATTAGGGAATGTTTTCATTTTGAAAACATCTTTCACTACTACTACTAAGAAGTATGTCTTATGTAACTGGGATATTGATTTCCATACAGTTCAGATGGCTAGTAAATTCAGAGTAACCCTGAATGTTTCTAAGATTTATTCTTTCAGCTGGGGATACAGCTCAGTGGCATAAGCACCTGTCCAGCAAGTGCAAGGTTGTGAGTTTGATTCCTGGTATCTGGATCCTCCTCCCCCAGAAAAAGATTCATACTTTCACTTTTAAAGTAAATGTCTCTGACATTAAGGGAATTTCCAAAAGGTTGAGGGGTAGAGGATGTAATAAGAAGTCCTGGGGCAAAATTGGATACAGTATTTTATTTCCTGTTTTCACATACATAAAAACGTCATTTTTAACACAACCAATAAATTGTAATTACAGTATTGGTATTTTGAAGAATATCAATTTGTCTAGGATTTTAAAAGATGGATGCACTAAGCAACAAGACAAGTAGATTCTGGTATATCAAAATAATAACCAAATTTTAAGATACAACAAAAGGCATAAGAAAATGAAGGTTCATTTTCTTCAAAATGTCCTTCTCTCCAGATTTTAGTAATAGAAAAGAAAAAAGTTTTGTCATCTAAAGATGAATTAGATCCATTACACATTTTGGAGGAGGAGAAAAAGCAATGATTTAGAGCTAACAATAGAAGATGGTTGTTTATTTAGAAAATGTTTGAGAATACATTTTTCAAAAGTATTTTTACCTTCATAACAATAATGGGCTCCTTCAAAGAAGATATACTTTAAATTTTAGTAATTCTAGTTATATATTAAAGACCACGGGGGCAAAGGCAGCTCATTACTTACCAGAATCCTTTGATCGTCCTATATGCAATCTTTTAAATCTCCACTAGCAAGCATTTTTAAAAATCAATTTCCCTATATCCTCCCAAGAGGAAGGTTTCTAGCTATAAGCCCTTCACTGGATGATAAAGTATTTTATTTTAGAACACAAAAGTACTAATTTATTTATTTATTTTAATGCCCTAATTTATACTCAAACACCCAGATTTTATTTCAGAATAGTAGTAAAGATGCAAATAATTTAAAGCATCTAATCCTCACTTTTTGTTTTCTGTGGTACTACAAATCAGAGGGTCTAGTATAGCCTAGACAAGTGCTTTACCACTGAACTATATCCCCAACCCTGATTCTCCATTTTAAAATAGTGGTTCTGAACAGTAAGCCATATGTGTTTTGATTCTTCAGGTTCTGATTGCTTTATCTTTCAGTTTTGAGACTTTTAAATTTTAGTTTCACTTTTTTCCAAATTACACAAAAACCCAGAGGTTCCAAGGCTTCCCTACTGGTTTGGCAGCCCTTCCCCAAGTTTTTGAACAACATGTAGAGGAAAACAAAGACTTCAGTAAGCAAGCTATTCATTCAGCATCACATAACCCCAGATAAAACATTCTAGACTTTAAGGATCACAATTAAATAAGCACCATTCTTCAAGTGCCTATAAAAGCACTAGGACTTAGGATCTTTCTCTCATCATAATTTCTTTTACTATTAATTTTTACCTTGATTTTTTTAAAAAAGCCACTAACGAAGGATGATAGTGCTAAATTTAGCTTTAAGTTGTTTACTCACCATTATGAGGTATACTGAGTTCCACTGTAAATATGTCACATTCGCTAAAGTCCCACTGCCAACTTTCCTGTTGTTTTTTCTATTTGGAAACAAGACAGCAGATGTTTGTATAGGTGAGCTAAAGTAGTAAGTGATTTGATTTATAGGATAATGCTAACAATTAATGCCACCAGGCATTCCCCTCTTGGTTCCCCTATCAAGCAGACAAAGTTTCCGTGCTGGTTGAGACAAGATGTCTAGAGCTGCCAGACAAACTATTTTTAGGGCATAAAAAAACAAGTTGCCAGAAGGCCTGAGTAGTTTGAGTGTGGACCACAGGCCACTTGCATTAGAAGTCGGGGTACTTGTTAAATGTGTACTTTCTCAGACCTACTGAATCAGAATCTAGTGAGTGAGGCTAGCAATCCTCAGACAACTTTTAAGCATGGTAAGTTTGAAAAGCATTGGTCTAAGGAAATTAACTGGAGAATGAACAGAAAGTTGATGGGAAGACAAACTTAGTAACTTGCTCAAGGTCATTTAATTTAATGTTAAAATGATTTTATTTATTTTAATATCATATCATATAGGTTCTGTTATTCCCACAAGATAATAGTAAGCCAGAGAGATTAAATAGGTTCTAACTAGGAGAACAGTTACTCTCAGTATTATACTGTGTATCTAGTAAAGGGTTCAGCAAACTTTTTCCTGTAAAAGAATAGATTGGAAATATATTTAGGTTTTGTGGACCATTTCACTACTCAATTCTGTCACTGTACTGTAAAACTACTTGTAGACAGTAGGTAAAGGAATGAGCATAGCTGTGCTCCAATAAAACTTGATTTATAAGAATATATAGTATGCTGGATTTGGTTCATGGCTGTTACATGTTGACCTTTCTTGTAGCATTTTTTTTTTTTCTCTTTGTTCCGCTGAGGACTGAATCAGGGGCTTCTACATTCTGTTGTATTTTTTGCCAGTGCTGGGGATAAAATTCAGGGCTTCACACATGTTAGGTACTAAGCTATACCCTCTAACGTATCTTTAATTCCAAAGAAAGGTAACAGAATATGCAACTTGGCATAAGGATGTTTTATGATGAAGACAACTGAGCAGAAGTAGATATAAGCAAAGCTATCTTTCCTTCCTCTGTCAAAAAGCAGGACATAAATTTACAAGTGTCTCTCAGGCCCTCTCAACAAGGAGGGACAAATAACTACATATATGGTTATATTCTTACCAGCCTGGAAATGACACCAGATGACTCAACATAACAAACTGGACTGACTCGCCTTTGTCCACCCTTAGATTTCATGCATTTGCCTTCCAACAGTTTATAGTCTCTAAAGACTTACAGTCCTTTAAATTTGTCTTGTGGTTTCACTAAAAAGTTACTGTTCCACGCTGAAGATGCTAGATAAGCCAGAGTTGTAAACTCCCTTTCTGAGAATTATTCTTTTCTTCAATTTACTCCTATATCAAGTGTTCCTTATTTTTCCCTACACATACACAGGAACCATGAAATAAGACAACTTTTTAAAGAAGTGTAACTTATGGCCTGAGGATGTAGCTTAGTGGCAAAGTACGTGCCTAGCCTGTGCAAACCCCTGAGTTCAATCCCCAGTCTAGGGAGGGAGGAAAAAAATAGACAGATAGTATTTATCATCTTTTAAGTCATATATATTTATGTGTATATGACTGAAGTCATACATATACATATGACTTAAAAGATGTGTACAGTTGCACAGACTTGTAGACCCAGCTACTCAGAAAGCTGAGGTAGAAGTACAGCTTGAGCCCAGGAATTCAAGGTCACTTTTGGCAACTAATAAGACTATTCTCAAAAAAAAAACCATGTATTTTATTATTTGGATCTTTTTTCTTTGATGGAACAGCTCAATCCTATTAATGGATAAATGGAACATTACTGTAGTTGATATAAAATACTTAAGTTTTGCCATGACTAACTGGGTATTGGGATCTTTCACTTAATTTTCTTCTAATCCCTCCATACTTCTAATTTGTAGCTGTCGGATGCTGGATCCAGCCAGATGGTGCTTTCCTACCCACAAATTGACTTCAAGTGAAAAAGATAAGCAGGTTCAAATTTTACAAGTTTACTTTCCCATAAGAGCAAATAAGTAAAAATTGCATGTACATTTTGTGATTATGTAACACATTCCACAGCAAGGACTTGTTTTGAAAGAGAAAAAGGTTTCACACTAACCTACTGCCAGCAGCTTAAAGTAGCTTTAAACGCTTATGATAATGTTCAAGAAACCATTAAGACATGCATATTCTTGTCCTTTGCTAATCTTCCTCTGCTTCATCTTTCTCAATTGTACAATTCTCTACATGGTTGAATGACTGAATAAATTAAATGTTTTATTCTCAAATAAATGTTTGAACCTAGATGGCTTAATAACACTTATATTTGCTCACGTAGCAATTACGATACAATTATTTCCTATATGAAGTTCTCATCCACACCTTTGTGTGGATGTTTGGTTATTTGGTTGTTAATAATTTGGTTGTTGGAAAATCAGAAATAAATTATCTGTTGCCAGCTACCTTCAATTGATCAGCAAGAAGAATAGCCTATTTGTATAAAAGATGGTTGCTTGTACACCAGTGAGGTTGTTTTCCCTTTAAAGTAAATGACTGGGCTCAGAAACAGTTTGGAGACTCCCAGCCTCCTAAAGTCCAGGCAGTGCTGTGCAACCAGCTCTGGCTAGTGGAATGTGAACAGAAGTGATAAGCCAACGTGGTATGTCTCTTCCACTGTTTCTTCCCCCTTGTAGCGACTTTGGGGCCACTTGTTGAAGATGGCAGCCTTACAAAAAGGAAGAAAACTTGATGCCTGAGTCACATGAAGGAAAACTGTGCAGAAACAGTTCCAACCTGGAAGGATTAAGGCCTTATGTGAGCTAGTGACAAGCTTTCACTTGTTAAGCCACACTGACTAGGAAATGTTTGTTACAGCAGATAGCCTACCTTAACAGAATATGCAAGTGCTAGTAAAAAAGTAAGATCATTATTCCCGAAAGGATTTGTAAGATTAATGCAAAATTTGAGGGATTCTATGTATAAGAAGAGCTTGTGTCCAGGACTAGTAGCACACTCTTATAATCCCAGCCCTCAGGGAAGGGGTGACAAGAGGATCACAAGTCTGAATACCACCTAGACAACTTAGTGAAAATTTGCTCTAAATAAAAAAATAAAGAAGGGCTGTAGCCCTGGGTTTGATCACTTGTACCACGGGGGGTGGGGGGGTTGTCTTGCAAATTGCCATTTTTGCCACTTTAGATAAATCAAAAACAAGTCTCAATAACTGGAAACCCCTGTTTATTAAGTAAATATTAACATCTTTTCTAAAGTATAAATGCTATTGCTCCCCTAAATCACTGAATACTAAGTAATGTAGAAGGTATTATATATTATTTACATACTGTATATTTATATAAACCAGAGAATTAAGTTTGCTCTCCCTAAGGAGCTGGGGCAGTAGTTCATTGGTAAAGTACTTGCTTACCTAGAATATGGTCCTGATTTGTTTGGGCACTGCAAACAAACAGCACTGCAGGAATTTTTTTCCAGTGCTAGGGATCAAACTCAGAGCCTCACACATACATGTAAGGCAAGGGCTTTACCACTGAAAGACAGCTCCAGTGCCTACTTCAGCCCTCAATACCACAGCATGTGTTTTCCACAGCTGTTTATTTCCTCACAGATTATTACTCCATAATTTTCTAGAGCCTGAGCAGGGTGAGGAGAGATGTGCCTGCTGTAAGGCTGACTGCACAGACTGGTTCCACATCTGCCCAATGGGGGACTCCAAAACTGTTCACCTGCAATTTCTGGCCCTTGAGGAATGGAAGCGGGAGTTTTCGGCATCCAGGTGAATGGCCAGAGGCTCTAAGGAAAAAAAGAACTGCTCAGGCTTATTCCAGGTTTGAACAGAAAGAGCCTCAAAAAACAGGCAGGAGAAAAGAGAACCAAAAGAGGCCAATGCACCCAAGTGAGGACCCTGTCATGGGTGGGCAAAGCTCAGTAAACCATGTTGTTCTGTGATGCCTACTAATTTTTCCTGAGTTAGGGATCCAGGAGAATCTGATGAAAGCTATGGAACAAGCAATTATTCAAGTATGCAATTTCAAGATGCTCTCAGAGACCTTGTAGTTCACCAATGAATCCTAGGTCAAAAATTCCCTACTTTTAAGCCGCGCATTTAGCTCAATGGCTCATAATTGTGAGCTTGTGAGTTTGATCCCTAGTACCAAAAAAAACCTACTTTTTTAAAAGAGTTAATGACTGATTCGCAGCATGGTACAACCCACTAGTAAATAACTGAGGTATTTCCTGTAAGAGAAAACACAATTATTTCTTGCATCTCTTCCCCCTAAATAGAGAAAAGGAGGAGGTAAGACAGAGAGGTAATGTCATTCTAGCTGCCCGGCCACCCCGTACTGTCTCTAACCTTAGTGTCTTAAGTTAGGATTACATACAGTCCAATAAAAGGACATTATTAATAATTTTTTTTTTTACTTTTGAGAATTTTTTCTTTCTATTACTTTCACACAGAAGTTACAAAAATAGTATATAAACTCCCACTCCTGGCAATCACCATTCCATTTTCTGTCTCTATGAGTTTTATTACTCCAAGTACTGAACTTCATGTAAGTGGAATCACATACTATTTTTCTTTTGTGACTAATTTATTTCATATAATGTCTTCCAGGTTAGAGTACTATTCTGCATCCCTTGACCAGATATTTGGCAACTGTGACAAATCCATAAAGGCAATCAAGACACTTGACAATTTCAGCGGCAACAGTCTTCTAAATGTGGTGGGGACTCCAGAAGCCACTGGAAGTAAGTCAGTTTAAGCATCAGATCCCATTACATTCCTAGCAATGACATCACAGCTTTGCAAAGCCACATTTTCAGTGCTTACTGTGACAAAAAGCAAGTGCTGTGGGAAAATGAACGTACAACAGGAAATCAGAGTGGTGGTGCCCAGGATCACAAGATATTGCAAGATATGAGTAATACAGGCACATGTATCCTGTTAATAATTGAGGTGATTTAAAAATAATACAAAGTGCCTTTTCTCTCTGTTTATATGCATTATTTTTTCAAACAGCACCTAATTTAACAAGATATAATTGCTTAGTTGTTTATACCAAACTGCTTCAACCTAGAGACATGGTGAAAAAATTACTCAG